AACCCACCAGCCACTCCTCGGAAGGAAGGTTGGGCAATCTACTTCTGTAGTGATACTGCCTTGGAAACCCAAGGAGGGGTTGCTATGAGTTGGGTTCGACTCGATGGCACATAACAACAACAACAAACTTTATTTAGTAGTCAGACACAGAAGGTTTTGTCTGCAGCTCCACCCAAATCCTGTGGCTACCATGGGGTATTACTTCACAGGGACAAAAATAGTGGGCAGTAGTATCATTTGCAGCCCCAAAACTACTCTTGGCTTGCTCAGTGAGCATCATCTTGAAAGGGGAAAATGATAATTTCTGGACACAAAAAAATTCTGTAGGAATTTTACCATTATATGTGCTTCTGTTGAAATCTAATTTGTCTTCTTGTGAAAAGGGCACACAGGTACTGTTTATTGGTTAAAGCTGGTTAATTTAATCTTCAAATGAGAGGAGAAAATAATAACTTTTATTTTTCATACCTTTTTTAAGCCTGTAAAGGTGCTCTTGTGTTGTTGTGGTTAAGGCATTGGGCTGCTAACCAAAAGGTAGGTGGTTCGAACCCACCACCTGCTCCATGGGAGGAAGATGAGGCAATCTATTTCCATAAAGATTTACAGCCTTGGAAACCCAGTGGGGGTCGCTGTGAGTTGAGATTGACTTGATGGCAATGGGTTTAAGCCTATAAAGGAGAATTTGACCAAGACAGTGAAGTAAATATTTTGACTAAGTTGGCCTTTTGTTTTAATGGAATTGACAGAACTGGAAAATTTGGGCAAACTTAAGAAGTCTTACAAGAAGTTATATTTAATGCTACATCTTTTAATGGAATAACTTTTTTGCATTTAGAGAACAGTATGTGTTGTATGCATTCTTTAAATTAAAAAGAAAAAAAAGTGGAATTGAGTGGATTCCTACTCATAGTGACGCCTTGTGGTTAGAGTAGAACTGTGTTTCATAGGGTTGTGAGTGGCTGGTTTTTCAGAAGTAGATCAGCAGGCCTTTGTTCTGAGCAGTCTCTGGGCAGACTTGAACCTCCAGCCTTTCAGTTAGCAGCCACGCACGCTATCCATGTGTACCACCCAAGGTGTTGTATCCTTTACAGCCTCCCTGTTATTTTCCATTGCAGTGGGGACTTTGACGGGGCAAAAGCCAGACTTCCAATTCATTTTACCCTGTTTTAGAGGAATAATATGGCAATTTTATTGCTCTACCGTCCAGAGCAATATTTCTGCTTTCATGAACTGTCAAGATGCTTTTATTTCGATTCTTTGGAAATTTAAGACTGTATGAAAGACATTGGGATCAAAAATCACTTTCCTGTTCTGAAAACATCAAGAGGGTGGGATCAGCCTTTCTGGTCTGCCCAGTCTTATCCAGGCCCTCTTGTGCCTCCATCTCCATTTACCTCCTCCCTGATCTTTGATCTTGAACAACATAAATACTCATGCTGAAGACACTTTTACCCTTCTAGCCTCAAGGTTCCTTGTTTTTTTTCCTACTCTTAGTTTGCTTTCTCACCAACAGATCCTGGAACTTACAATTCATGATTAATATAGTCTAACACAGTGTTTCTGAAATAGAAATAACTACTGTATGATCTAGAATTTTAAATCTCCATCTTTCATTATAGTCTCTCTTTTCTTTATCTAGTTTATTCTCTAACTCCTGCTGAATGTGCCCTTTTTCGTTAAGATGATGTCAAGGTTTTTGTTTTCCCAGACTATTTCCAAGGCTCTTTATTACTTAACTGTGCTTTCCTGTTCATTTGAACTTCATATCCACCCTGTGAAATAGGGGCTGATTATCAACTTTGGGCTTGTCAGCCTCTATGACCAGTAGCTGCCTGAGTGAAGAGAAACCTCTAGCTCCAGTGGGCCGGGAACAGGAGGCAAAGCTAAAGCCCAAGGTCAAGGAGCTTTCATACAGCCCCTGGAGCCTGACACTTTGAAGTCGGATTTCTAGCCTCCTGAACTGTCAGAGAATAAACTCCTGTTTGATCAAGGCGTCCCATTTGTGGTGTATTCCTGTCAGAGCGGCACCAGGGAACCAGGACAGACATTGCATTGGAAGTCCTAACAAGAGCAATAAGGCGAGAAAGGGCAATCAAAGGCGTCCAGATTGACCAAGGAGAAGTAAAATTATCTCTTTTTGCAGATGCTATGACGCTATACGTAGAAAATCCCAAAGACTCAGCAAGAAAATTACTGGTGCTAAGTGCCTAAGGCACTTGACTGCTAACCAGAGGGCTGGCGGTTCAAACCCACCAGCCACTGCTTGGAAGGAAGGTTGGGCAATCTACTTCTGTAGTGATACTGCCCCGGAAACCCAAGGAGGGGTTTCTATGAGTCTAGTCTGACTCGATGGCACATAACAACAACAACAACATCCCTTTCTTAGGGCTGAGAAGATTAAGCAAGATTGAGCCAAGCTTGGGTAGTTGGTTAGTGGTGGGGCTAACTTAAACTCTGGTATTGAGCCTCCAGACTCTGTACTATATATAGGCCTCACTGTCTAGCTCTTGCTCCTGGTCCCTGGGTCTCACCAATAATCACACCTCCTACTTTATTGAGATACTGAGCTTTTTCATTTTTCTTCTATGAAGCCCCAGGATGTTGTTATTTTGGTATCTGTGCTGCACCTTTCTTGTCTTATTCCCAGAGAGAAACAGTCCCTTATTCCTCTTTCCTTCTATTTGATTTTCTCTATTCTTCCATTCTATCATATTTTCCTTCCCCTTATTTATCCCTAATAGAGGTAGTATTCAAATTCTTCTGTGGATAAGTCACTTGGGAAGCTTATTTAAAATGCATATTCCCAGGTTGCTGCCTCAGGAGAGTGTGCTTCAGTAGGTCTTGGGAATCATGTTTTAACAACTCTCACAAGGAGTTTCTGGCATAGGTGATCCAGTGACAGCACTTTGAGAAGCACTGACTCCACTGAAGGAATCTAATATTCTTTAGACTTAAAACCATACAAATCATATCCACTTGTTTCTTGTAGAACATTGGACAGAGTAGACTAAAGTTGCCTTTATTTGCATAAAACCCTTAGTTGATTTTTTTTTTTCGCATTGAAGAAGAAGTTCCCCAAGCCGAATTTCTCCATGCTGATTGGTAGTAACTTAAAGATACTCTTAGCACTAAAAAAAGAGCTATAGTTTTTGCATAGATATACCTCCCTGAAGCATGTAGATCTTGAAAGTCCAATATGACTAGCAGATTGTTTATACCATTACATGTCTACATGATACAAAAGGAAAAAGTGTTGAAAACTAAAAAAAAAAAAAAAAAGTCAAGTGTATAAGTTAATTGCTTGTGATTGACTGTTTTGACATCAGGTATAAACAGCTTTAATGCTTAATTGTGGTCATATTCTGGGGGATTAATTTAAATTGAAGACTGTGAGCCTTTTGTTAATATTGGCTTTCAATTTTTGCTATTCTCCTTTCTGGTATTGTTACTAGGGGTGAATTATCCTTTGCAAAGGATGTGTTTTCATTTTAATTATAGCCATTGGCTATTAGCTTTTTAGGCTCAGCAATTACAATTTTGCTCAGCAGGGCTTGCAGAGAGAGAAATCTTCTATAGAAAATAGCTTTGGACCAAGTTTGTACTCTAAAATGCTATAAAAAATCTTAGACAAATGTGATATGAAAGATGTTATTAAATATAGGGCAAATGAAGTAGATACAGAGAAAACTGTCTTAGAGATGGTTTTTATTCTTAAGAGGTAGGCTTAACTATAAGGTTCTTGAGGAGTCTCTTACATGGAAAGCTAAGTACAATCTAGTGAAAACCACTGCTGTTTTTATAATGGCCTCTAATTATACTTATCTCGTGGTGTTCTTATGACAGAGATATGTTCAGTCAGTGTGTTTTTTAAAGGAAGTCTCTAAATCTGACTTTTAAAAGTTTATTGTCTTCTGTTTCACAAATATAACTCTCCTAACAAAAAATATACCAAGAACTTTTGTTTTTTCTCTTTATGTATTGGTCATTTCTAGTTCATAATCAACCTTCTTTAATGATTTTCTTCAGTAAAATAGTATTTTTCAGAGAAGAAGAGCTTTTCAAAGTGAAAGATCTGAATTCAGTCCATTATCTTTCTATCTGTCCACACACACATTTGGAATCTGGAGATGTCCTACATTTAGCCTTATGTTTTCTTAATTATTTTCATATAAAGAGGAGGACAGTTTCTCATCATTGTTCTTTGGTATATCTATATTTCCTTTAATTCAGGATATTCTCAATACAATCTCTTACTGGCATTATTAGACTTTAATATGTACAAACCATCCTTGTGGCCTTTCCTTGTGGCTTTACACACATTATTTGTTCAGTAGCCATATGTCAAGTGTCAAGTGAGGCAACAGCATACTTCTCCTATCCTCCCTTAGGGTTTTGAGAATTTCTTTATTTATGAATTACCTATCTCTTTAATCTGATGGCACAGTGCCCAAGGCATTTGACATCTAACCAGAAGGTTGGCGGTGTAAATTCACCAACAACTCCATGGAAGGAAGACTGGACAATCTACTTCCATGAAGATTTACCACCTCAGAAACCCAATGGGAGTCAGGATCCACTTAATGGCAGTTTACTTTGGTTTTAATAAGTATGAAATAAACCTAGAAATAGCTTCCCACTTTGCAAAAATAGTAACTTCCTACAGAATTTATTTGTTTCAATTATCTTTGTAATGCAATTTGAATAAAGTGTTTGGCTGGTAAAATTTGGGCCCTTATTTGTCAGGTAAATCTGCACAAAAATAGGTTTTTTTGTTGTTTAGAGAGACTATTTTTATAGTCATGAAGCTTACACTGACATGGATTTTCAAATAAGTAATTCAAAGGCCAAAACTTAGAGACCCATAACTGAAGAGTGTCAGATCATGTCAAAGGGTCAAGTAGGGATGTGGATTTAGACCTTCTGTAATCAACTGTCAGCACCCCTTTCATTTCTTGTTACCAATGTATCTGAAGAATGATGTATCAGGTTCAAGATAATTCTCTTCGCACTGTAACTTGATTCATTTCAAACTCCACAGAATGCCAAGATCATTAAAGGAAAAATACTACCTCCTCAACTTCTGTGTTTCTCTAGAGAAACAAAAACCAGCAAAGCTTATGTATATATAAAGAGAGAGAGAAATTTATCTTAGGAAAATGGCTCACAGACATATAGAAGCCAGCAAGTCCAAAGTTCCTGGAGCAAACATTAGGCTGGAGACTTTTCCCTGCAGGGGCCAAGAAGCTCAAGGCTGGCAGGCAGTACACTGGCTGTTGACTCCAACAAATGACGAATCCAAGATCTCCAGGCTGAACAGTGGACTGCTCACTCACGGACAGTGGTAGGCAGCACAACAGAATTCCGATCCACAGAAGAATGTCTCTCTTCCCAGGATGTCCCTGGATATCCTAGAGGCAGGCCACACCCCTAGGAAAACTCCCCTTAAACAGATTGGCCACTCAGAACACAGGCATCCAATCCCATCATGGGAACAACCACACAGAACTGGGGTCCTGCCAAGTTGACACACAGCTCTAACTATCACAACTCCCATTACATTTTAGAAATGACATGACAGAGAGAGAGAGAGAGAGAGAGAGATGGTGGGAACTTGCTGCATTGATTTTTCCAGGCTTCTGCGCCACCAGGTATTCTTCCAATGGGTGGTTTCACCCCCCTCCCCCGACTGGATTCCCTCCCTTGTGAGTGAACTAAATAGGTGATCCAGTCAGATAGCCTATTTGATTGGTTCTCTTCCCAGAATATCCTGATGTTAAATATTCACAGACATAATAAGATGCCAAGCTGCCTTACTCAGAAGGCTCTCCCAGAGGAAGGAAAGACTTGATTATTCAAATATTTATTTTTATTATTTATTTAAAAAAGCCCAGAATTACTTTTCTATTGTCCTTGGAACTGTTGTTTCAACATCATTTTAGTCCTCACTAATATTTCTAAAATTTAAAAATATTTTTGTTGTTTTATTTAATAGAAAGTATATAGAGAGAATTTTGAGAAGGAAATTAAAGGAAGGTCATCACTGGATTTAGACAAGACGCCAGAATTTTTACATGTAAAGTACATCACCAACCTTCTGAAGGAGGTATGATCCTTTTATTTATTATTAAATATCTCAAAAAGAACAAAATAAATAATAGGAAATATTTATTCTGAACAATTCTCAACTAATTCAGTGTTTGTGGTATTAACCCTTACTGTTTCTTTCATTTTCACCTTTATTTATAAAGTTTTGTATTTTCATTCAAAACAGGAAAGTGTGTGTTAATGTTTCCATTTAAAGTTGCATGAAGAAATTATCCAGATTTTCTGGAAGAACTTGAAAAATATATATTGTGATTTTATGGTTTGGTTATAGCTCAGAAATTTTGTAAGTAGTTAGTTTTATAGCTGTATAGGAGTTTTTTAAAAAATGTTTTGAAGATGGGTGGGGCAAGCTTGATTCTTTCAAGTCGAGGCATTGTGAAAACATGTATGAGAACCAGCTTTTTTCTGCATATTCTTAATGGATATTTGATATCAAAAATGAGGTGGTTAATTGTGAAGGTCGAGAAAAATGGTACATAATTTATAAAAGGTCTGTGTTTTAAGTAGGGAAAGTAATATATTGAGCATATACATTTTTCATTTTAAGTTATTCTCAGGAGGATTTTATTTCCTAATTTAAAGGTCCATTTAGGCTCACAGTAAATATATTACATTTGTTAAATATTTAAGCCTTCAAATCTAACACTTGAACATGTCATGCTCAGTGTACATCCCTTGACAAGTTTTCTTTCAATGGCTGGAAGATAGCTTGGATCTCTTCCAACTCTGCTTGAGAAAATTACCTTTACATTAAAGGGATACAGGAATATGTTAGAAGACTTCAGTTCATCTTACATTTTTTGAAGTGAAGAAATTATTCCTGAAAGAATTGTCTTAAGCCAGCAAAATAAATTACCTATATAGAGCTGTATGATCATGAACTTCTTTAATAAGAAAATGGCAACAGACTTTGACCGTTTAACTGTGTGTTTTTTTTTTTTTTTTTTTGGAATTTAATATAACTGTTGTCAGTATGTTTGGTGAAATAGGCATGTAGTTTATGAAGTGTTCTCTTGCTACCCTGTGTTTACTCACTTCCAGTGCCTGTAAACTTTCTGAAAGCTGAACCACTGTCATTCAAGGAATGGGGTGGTCAGGAAGCAAAGAATCATCTACATCCTTTCTTTTGGGGACCCTCAGGTTCAAGCACAGTTCAATTTTTTTTTTTTCTTACTGCTAATAACAAGTTTTGTCATGAGAATTTTTTTTTCTCTCTGCTAGATATGTGCTAGAGGAGCTCTGGTAGCATAGTGCCTAAGGCACTTGACTGCTAACCAGAAGGCTGGCAGTTCAAACCCACCAGCCACTCCTCGGAAGGAAGGTTGGGCATTCCTACTTCCGTAGTGATACTGCCTCGGAAACCCAAGGAGGGGTCGCTATGAGTCGGGGCTGACTCGACGGCACGTAACAACAACAACATATGTGTGCTAGAGGTCAAACTGTAGCTATCATTTTAATTAAATGACAATTTCCTAATATTGCTACTTTCCATTAGAAAATATGCACTATATAAATGATTTTTTAAAAAGAGGAATTGTTTCCTCATTTACATACAAGTGACAATATGAGCTCTGTTTTGAGATCCATAAATGACTTTAATATACATGCCATTGAGTTTATTATTACTATTCTTTTTTAAGGGTGGGCCTTATGGATGCAGAATCAGTATAGGAAAAGATCTAGAAGACTATGATTAAAAATATTTTAATTAAGCTGTAGAGATGCTTGATTTGAAAAAAGGTTTCTTGGTGACTTAATGAAATTGTAACTTCTCTTTCTACATGTAAGCATTTAGCTTTAAATTGACTTCAAGTAGTCTTCTCTACATAATCATAATGATTTTTTACATTTACATTACCATTTAGAACATTCAAAGTATCATTTTATACTTCATTTCATTTTATTGCCCCAATTGCCCTTGGACATTGGCAGAGCAAGTATTTTTATTTTTGTTTTGCCAATGTAGAAATCAAGACTCAGTTACTTAAAGTCCTCTTGAGGTCACGTGACAAAATAAGTAAAAGGACTCTGACCTCCATCCAGGTCTTTTGATGCCAGAGCTCTTTCCAAAATTACATGCAGGTCATTGCAATAGCCAGTAGGCTATTAGTTAAACAGAGGACCAGCTAATTTAATTATACTGGACAAAGAGAAAATAACATGAAATGAACTGGAACCTGATTTCTTATCATTAAAGGGTGTTTCATCATCCTTTTTTGAAGTTAGTTATAAATGTAACTTCTAAGTTGAAAGGAAATATTAATATAGAAGATTTGGATCTACTTCAAGTCAAATATTAAAAGAGGTGAAATTCTAAACTGTGTATTATCAATTTTTAGGACATTATTCAATTTTTTTATAATAATTGAACCTTTATTATTATTATCATTATTATTATTAAAAAACCTCTGGCTATATCAATCCTTTTGATTTTGTACCTTTTGATTCTTTTTCAACTATGTTCTTTGGGTGATTCACATTTTATAGACAGTTTTTAAAGAAATATTTCAAATAATCATGTATTTCTAAGATTTTCCTCACCATTTAAAGGAAAAACATCTTGAAAAAAAATCTAATATGGTATAAAAACATATTGGGAAAAAGGATGAAAGGAAAAAGACTGATAGTATTGGAAGCCACACTAAATATGACTAGAGGAGAAAATGAAGTCTCCGTAGGAGATAAGAAGCATGACACTTGACAATCTGATTCATTCTCTCTAGAAATAATTTTTCCTTCTGTGGTACCTGGAAAACATGTAAAACAGTACATCAGATAAAGTGTTGCCCAGTAAATATTGAGCTGTAATATTCTGTCTCATAGAAAGAATATAAGAAAGATCTGGAAAATGAAATAAAGGGGAAAGGAATGGAACTCAGTTCAGAAGTTCTTGATATACAAAGAGCAAAACGAGCCTGTGAAATGGCTAGTGAGGTGAGTGTATATATTTACAACTTAGAAAGTATGAATAGTCACCTGATTTCCTTATCTGTAAAACTTTCACAGAGATTATATGTGTTCCACAGTTTTTATGTGTGCATGATTGCAAGCTGCTATTTTCCAGTAGTCTTTTCCCAGTCAGTGAATAAAAAAATAAAAAGCCTCTCGGTATCTATTTTCTCATGGTATTTAAGAAAAGGCCATTTCTTCATTTTAGAGAAGATGTATAAAAGAAAACAATTCATGTAGATAATACTCACATAAAAATTATTTCATGAGATTGAATTTGATCATTTAAGCAAGTGAAGGTGGAAGACTGGGAACATCTGCAAGCATGGTCCATCATTAACTGCCAGTTGTAAAACTCATGTTCTCTGCTGGTCATAATTCAGTGACTCTCCCAGGCCTTGCTTAGATGGGTGAATGAACCTAGTTAAACCTTCAGAGTGGCTGCTGCACACTTCACATGAACTTTGTAAGAAGGAATGAAATATCTCTGAGATGATTTCTGTCCTTTAATTCTTATGTTATATCATTACGTTGGTCTTAAATAATGGCTTTGTGGTTTGAGAGGCACCTTGCTGAATTTAACTGAAAAAATGAAAGACTTACCCCCATATGTTCATAAACTGTGGTGATGATGTTGTTGATGACCCTATTAGTTAGGTTGACAACAATAGAAACCCAGAACTGAACTTGTGTTAAGCAAGGCTTACAGAATGGAAGTCTCGAGGTCAAGCTTGCTTTAGGTTGGAATTCAAGCGATATCAGTGTCTCCCTTTCTTTCATCTCTTCAGTATTGTTATGTTCTCTTTTGGCTTTATTCTTGGAAGGCTGTCTCTATGTGGTGGCCTCTGTTAACAACTTGATAACTAATTTCTACAGTTAGCAGTCCCAGTGGGAAGTGAGCATGTTTTCTTATAACTTCAGTTAAAGAATCTCATTGGATCATCCTCAGTCATATGTCTACTTCTGACCCAATCATTGTGTCCTGGGGTTGGGGAGAAAAGTATGCTGATTGGCTTAGTATGGCTCTCATGGCCACATTTGTTTAGTTTACTTTCTGTGTAGTTTGACAAAGTGTTATAGGTATAAATTATTCTAAATTGTTACTGTGTTTTTTTCTTTCTTAATTTACATTCAGGTTTGGCCATATTAATGCTTTTTAAATAGGTTAGAGGCAATATTAAAAAATATTTTAATACAATTAAAAATATATATGATGAATAGGAAAGAGGTAGAAATCAATCCATCCCAAAGTATATGTATTAAAAATAGTTAGTCAAGGTAATTCCCCAAAAGAAAATTGTGGAGCTCTTTGCCAGAAGACATGAAATGGATCTGGTCTGGTAAAAAGAACATATGTCTACGGTGATGGCTTTGGCTGATATTGTTATTACATAATCCCTTCTCCACAAGTTCTGTTATAGTGGTATGTCCATTCCACATTTAGAGTAAAATCTTGTCATACTTTATCACTAACATGTGGAAAATTTCTCAATAGTAGAGACCAGCCAAATGTGGTCACATAAATTGTCAGTTACTGAGTACCTCCTCTGAGCTGGGCACTGTGCTGTAGCTTTCTCAATATTCTCACAGTGACCCTGCATTAGAGGTATTATTATCCACATTTTTAGATGAATAAACCAAGGCTCAGAAATATCAAGAAGCATCCCCAGCATCACACAGCTACTGGATGCTATGACCTCAAAGTCAGTCTTATTGGTACAACATCAACCTGTGCACCCTCCTCCCCGGCACCCAGCTCCCAGCCTCAAGACACTTGTCATTGAAGATTCTCACTTTGGCAATTGCCTTTTTATAGTAAAAATCTTCAGTGTTTATATAACCTTCAGTGAGAATAGGGATTATAGGTCTAAGCTTCTCAAAATTTAGTTACTAGGTGACCATTCACAGTACAAAATGAGTTACGTTTTCTTTGTTTTTAAATATGTTTAACCATTTTTCAGTTTCGTCAAATATAGATATAGGTTTGTCCATAAAGTGTCTAAATGTTGTATAATGCTGTGTTTTTTTCCCTCCCCCCAGAAAGAATACAAGAAGGACCTGGAGTTAATGATTAAAGGGAAGGGTATGCAAGTTGGCACTGACACCCTTGAAATACAGCGGGCCATAAAAGCTTCAGAGATAGCTTGTGAGGTTAGTAGAGTGAATGGTACAGACCTTGGAATTCTTATTGTTGTTTTCATTTCCTGGTTTCATTGAGTTCCCAAGCAAACTGGCAGTAATTTGTGTAAACACTTACCTCTGTCTTTGCATGATTTTGGGACATGTCTCTACTATCAGTCTTCAAGTTTCTATTACGATTTTATAAATCTTACTTCTTCATGGAGTGGTATGTTTCATTATTGGGCAGATGAAACTGTTAAAAAATTCTTCTTTGTACTGAGTTGAAATCTGTCTCCCTGTATTTTCCTATTCTTATTGATTCTAGTTTGGAGAAACAGAATTACATAATTTTGGAACTTAATACATCATATTAGCTGTTGGATTGGTACATGGAATTTCCCAAATCTTTGTGGCTGGTTTAAGAGAACTGAATGAAAATACTCCAAATCACCATGATTATTTGAAAATTTACATTCTGTTTTTGTCATGCTAATATCCTTTAAATATATTAAAGGAAACATGGGAAACGGCATTTTAGTGTAACACATGCACCTTTTTACCTTACCACCTTATGCAACAACTTTTACATTAATCTGTTGTTAGCCGTTGTTAAGTTAGTCTCCAATTCATGGTGACCCCATGCACAATGGAACAAAATGCTGCCCTGGCCTGTGCCATCCCATGATGAGTTGCAGATCTGACTGTTATCCATAAGGCTTTCAATAGCTGATTTTTGGGCATAAATTGCCAGCCCTTTCTTCCTACTCCATCTTAGTCTAGAAGCTCCACTGTAACCTGTTGAGCATCACAGCAACACACAAGGCTCCACTGACAGTTGAGTGGTAGTTGTGCATGAGATGCAGTGGCCAGGAATTCTCAGGTAGAAGGCAAGAATGCCAACACTGAACATCGTTGCCTTCTGTATTAATCTAGGCTACTATAAATGTTTTCATGGTGTTTACCCCTTAAGGATAAATCATGTTGGTGGTATGGTATGATGCTATTTAGAATTAGGTATCTAATATTTATCTTATCTTGGCACATCTATAGTTCTAACTTTCTTAATAGAACTTGAATGTCATCTATTGAGATTAACATGGAAATGGTAACTGTTTTCGTTGTATGGTCTCAAGATAAAAAAATACAAACCATCAATATGTTGCCTACAAGAAACACATCTTAGACACAAAGACATAAATAGGTTAAAAATGAAAGGATTGAAAAAAATGTAGGAAGCAAATTGTAATAAAAAATGAGCAGAAGTGGTAAAATTAATCTCTGATAAAATAAAATCAAACTCCATCATAACAGACAAGGAAGATACTGTTGTTGTTGTTATGTGCTGTCAAGTCGGACCCGACTCATAGCAACCCTCCTTGGGTTTCCAAGGCAGTATCACTACGGAAGTAGATTGCCCCATCTTCCTTCCGAGGAGTGGCTGGTGGGTTTGAACAAACAAACATTTGATTAGCAGTCAGTGCTTTAGGCACTACACTACCAGAGCTTCTAAGGAAGGTACTATATAATGATTATGGGGTCAGTCCACCAAGAGGGCATAACCATAATACATATTTACACAACCAATAACAGAGCTCCAAAATACATTGGGGTGGGGGGAACTCTAACAGAATTGAAAAGAAAAATAAACAGTTCTACAATAATAGTAGGAGACTTTAACATACCACTTTTGATGATGGACAGAACAACTAAAAATAAACTCAACAAAGATACAGAAGAATGATATAACACAATCAATCAACTTGACTTCCTAGACGTATCAGAACACTCTACCCAACAGCAATATAGTACACATTCTTCTCCAGAGCACAGGGAACATTTTCCAGAATAGACCATATAGTTGGCCAAAAAGCTGGCCTGAATAAATTTAAAAATATCAAAATACTACAATGCATCTTCTCTGATCATAGCACTATAAAACTAGAAATCAGTAACAGAAAGAACAAGGAAAAAAACAGTCAAACACAGGGAAACTGAAAACCACCTTGCTTAAAAAACACTAGGTAATACAAGAAATTAAAAATGGAAAAAAAAAAATCCTAGGATGACATGAGAATGAAAACACAGTGTACCAAAATCTTTGGGACATAGTAAATACAGTGCTCACAGAATTCATAGCAATAAATACACACATCAAAAAATCAGAAAGGGCCAAAGTCAATAGCTTATCCTTACAACTTGAACAAATAGAAAAAGAGCAGCAAAAGAAGCCTACAGTCAACAGAAGAAAGGAACTAACAAAAATTAGAACAGAAATAAAAGAAGCAGAGAAACAATAGGAAGAGGCAACAAGACTAGAAGTTGGTTTCTGAGAGGATCTTAATAGACAAAGCACTGGCCAAATTGACAAAGGAAAAGAAAGAAGATGCGAATAACAAAAATAACAAATTAGATGGGTGACATGACAACAGAACCAACTGAGATAAAAAGGGACATAACAGAATATTGTGAAAACCTATACTCTAACAAATTTGAAAACTTAGAAGAAATGGACACATTTCTAGAAACACATTTGTTATCTAAACTAACATAAAGTGAGGTAGTAAATTAGAGCAGACCTATCATCAAAGAAGAAATTGAATAGCTGATTAAAAAAAAATAAATAAATAAAACACTGTCAACAAAACAAAGCCCTGGCCCAGATGACGTCACTGGAAGTGTATCAAATATTTAGAGAAGAGTTGCACCAATTCTATTCAGACTATTTCAGAACATAGAAAAGGAAGGGCTACTCCCAAATTTATTCTTTGAGGCCACCATAACCCTGATATGAAAGCCAGGGACAGACACCTAAAAAGGAAATTATAGACCAGTATTCTTTTATGAATATAGATAAAATTCTAGCCTACAGAATTCAACCAAACCAAACCAAACCCACTGTCATGGAGTCAGTTCCAACTCATAGCAACCCTCATTGGGTTTCCAATGCTGTAAATCTTTACAGAAATAGATTACTTCATCTTATTCCCAAGGAGCAGCTGGTGGGTTTGAACTGCTGGCCTTCTGATTAGCAACATGCATTAGCCTCTATGCCACCAGAACTCCTTACAGAATGCAACAGCATGTCAAAAAAATAATACATCAGGACCAAGTGGGATTCATACCAGGTATGAAAGGGTGGTTCAACATTAGCAAATCAATCAACATAATCCACCACATAAATAAAACCAAGACAAAGAATCACATGATCATCTCAGTTGATGAAATAAAGGCATTTGATAAAGTGCAACATCCATTCCTGATAAAAACTCTCAGCAAAATTCAAATAAAAGGGGAATTCCTCAACATAATTAAGGTCATATACAGAAAGCCAACGGACAACAAAGTTCTCAACAGAGAGAGACTGAAAGCATTCCCCTTACAAATGGGAACCAGGCAAGGATGTTCATTATCACCATCTTTTATTTAATATTGTACTAGAATTCCTAGCTAGAGCAAAAATGCAAGGAAGGGAAACAAAAGGCATTGAAATTGGTAAGGAAGAATAAAAACTATCCCCATTTTCAGATGACATGATCCTTTACATAGAAAATCCAAGAGACTCTACAAGAAAGCTACTACAACTGATAGAAGGATTTAGCAAAGTGGTAGGGTACAAGATCAACATAAAAAAAACCAGATTCCTTAACACTAAAATAAAGATAACTCCAAAAAGGAAATAAGGAAAACAATACCATTTACAACCCTCAAAAGATAAAATACTCAGGAATAAACCTAACTAGAGATGCATAAAAGACTATACAAAGAAAACTTCAAAAACACTACTGCAGGAAACCAAAAGAGACCTACATAAATGGAAGAGCATACCATACCCATGGATAGGAAGACTTAACATTATCAAAGTGTTAGTACTACCCAAAACTATTTATAGATGTACAATGCCCTTCAATATCCATGGGAGGATTAGTTCTAGGACCACCTGCAGATATCAAAATCCAAATTCCTTATATAAAATGTTGTAATATTTGCATATAACCTGCGCATATCGTCCTGTATACTTCAGATCATCTCTAAACCAAACCCCACTGCCATTGAGGCAATTCCAACTGATAGTGACCCTTTAGGACAGAGTAGAACTGCCCCATAGGGTTTCTAAGGCTGTAAATCTTTTTTTTTTTTTTTTAATTTTTGTGATTTGGGTGAAAGTTTACAGAACGGTTCATTTTCCATATAGTAGTTCACACATATTTTGTCTCATGGCAATGACTGCAAAAAAGACTGTAACTCTTACCAGAAGCAGACTGTCTCATCTTTCTCCATGGAGTAGCTGGTGAGTTCTCACTACTGACCTTTTGGTTAGCAGCCAAATGCCTTAATCACCATGACACCAGAGCTCCTTAAATTATCTCTAGATTACTTATAATACTTAAAACTATATAAATGCAATGTAAATAGCACTTTACTAGCCATCTTAGCCTTTGGGCTTCAGGGATTGTTTTGACCAGTCAATTGCCCCCCCCCTTTTTTTTTCATTTGTGATTTGGGTGAGTGCAGTTCCAAGCTTTCAAGGTGTTTTGGTTCAAGAGCTGCTATAACAGACATATTACAAATGTATGGCTTTAACAAACAGGAGTTTATTCTCTTACAGTTTAGGAGACTAGAAGTCTGAGTTCAGAATGCCAGCTGTAGGGACTGGGTGAAGGTCCCTTGATCTTGGGCTTCCACTCTGCCTCTTGTTCCTGGCCCATGGACTTAACTCAAGCACCTGCTGGCTGCTGAGGCTGACAAATCCAAGGTCAACAAGTAAAATGGCACAGTCCCAAGATTATTTAGCAACATGGCAGGCCACTAGTTCAAGTCTAGAAATAGTTCAAAGAACAACAAGCCACGTGGCAAGGTGCTGAATGAAGATTTGGGTACATGCAGGGTCCAAGCATGCCAAAAATCTCAGAGACCTTTTTCAAAGCCTCTTATATACTGGGAGAAGACCACATCACTAAGGCAGCTACTTACCTGCTCACAGCAGATTCCACCGTGGAGTTGCTTACCAGTCTCATCATGGGGAATCACTT